CAGAAACCCCCTGAGAGGAGGCGGACTGAGCGCTTGAGCTCCTGTCGGGTCCATGTGACTCTTGGGAGCCTCGAGGGATTCATTTGAAGGTTCTTCGGTTGGGGTTTCTGTTATTACAAAAGACAAAAACATCACTAGCTTTAGTAAACATGTTTAGCTACAAACAGACAGCCTTTGATTTCTCCAACATCATTTGCATATATATAAACCAAGTCAAGTTTCCAAGTGAATCAGGATATTCATCACCATCACTTGATTTTATGCATCTGGAACTGACTTGTTGGTGGAAAGTGACTGTTTCATATCAGAATAGAGTTTGATATCACTGAAAATGTTAGTTTTAACAATTACCCATAAAGCTAAATAATTCAGAGATTTTACAAACCATTATGGTTTCTTTGGAGTTACGTGCACTGGTAAATCATTTACAAGAAGACAATTTGAATCATGAATCGTTTCAAAATTGGACCAGGAACATGTATCAAGTTTTTTAGCCAATTTTGATTTCATGTTGAATTTAATTGTACATTGAGTTACAGCTGATTGATACCTGTGACGGATGGAGGAGGACCTGCGGGGTTCATAGAGGCCACCAGGGCGGCAGGAGGGAATCCTGTTTAAAAACAAGGTAATAATTCATGTTAAGGTGACTTAGTGTTATTATTTCATTCTGGTCTATCTATTCATCTAGACACTGACAAAAGGTTTGGGGTCGGTAAGATTTTTTTTAAAGATCATCAAAAATACAGTCAAATTATGAAATATTATTACAATTTCAAATAAGTGTTTTCTATGTGAATGTATAGTAAAATGTATTTTATTTCTGTGATGCAAAGCTGCATTTTCAGCATCATTACTCCAGTCTTCAGTGTCACATGATCCTTCAGAAATCATTCTAATATGCAGATTTGCTGCTCAAGAAATATATCTTATTATCAATGTGGAAAACAGTTTCTGTGCGGCTTCATATTTTTGTGGAAACCGTGATCCGTTCTTTCCCCAGGATCCTTTGATGAATAGAAAGTTCAAAGGAACAGCATTTATTTGAAGTAGAAATCTTTTGCAACATTATAAATATCTGTACTGCCACTGTTGAACAATTTAATGCATCCTTGCTGAATAAAAGTATTAACTTTAAAAAAAAAAGAAGTACCTGCAGGCATCTGCGAGGGGTTGAATCCAGGAGGAGGAAACGACGGAGGGGAGGCTCCTGTGATCATGGCTGGAGGTGGTAAACTCATGTTAGGAGGGGGTCCTGGGACATTCAATGTAGCAACAGGTTGAACTGAAGGGCTCTATAATGTCGAGAAGAAAAAGATGAGGAACAGCTGTGTGAAAGGACATTTTTAACAGCAATGAAACTTGAGAAATCAAAGATATGTTTATAAGGACATGAGGAGGCAAAGCGTGTTCTGCTGTATTCTTTATTGCACACAAAACACAAATAAACACTTTAGATACAACCTTTTAAACTACACCTGAAAGTTTTGAAATCAAAAGTGAGGATCAATCCTGGAAGAAGTTGTAAAGAATAATTGACAATCACATGTGCAAGGTAATACTATTTCGATTTTTCATGTGAAAAACATATAAAATTGATTTGCTGCCATCTGAAGCCATAGACTCAAAACTAAAGAGCTTACATGTACAGGTACTGTACAAAATTCAGACCTCAAAACACTGAAGATGTTTCTTCTTCCTTCATGTTTTTATACCTAGAGTGAATAAAAAAATAACTACCGTTTAATATTGCATGATAAAGCAAAATCCATTGCCTGAACCTTGCATAATATGCACTCTGAAATGTCAGCACCAACTTGAAGAGACTTTGGAAGTTGGTATAAAATCCTGTGGAGAACATCCTCATGCCAAGGTGCCATGGTGAAAGCATGTGTTTGGCAAACTTATTTTCACCAAAGTGATCTCAGTGCATGATAGTACTTTACAAGAGAGAGCCAGGTTGTTCATGAGAGAGTGTGAATCTGTGGTAACATCTCCATGATGGTGAAACAATTGTGGATGACATTAAATATACAAATGAAGAAAACAGCAAATCACCATCATCTTTGACCAGCAACATGACTCCAGTCCATCAATTAACGTCTTATGAAGTGAAAAGCTACTTGTTTGTATGAGACAAATCTATCATTAAGACTCTTTAACTTCAAATCATCCTCTATCCATAATAATGCTTTCTCCAATGAAAAAGTTGTCCTTTCTGAATCAGGAGAGAAATCTGCACAGATCAAGCACAGTTTACTATTGAAAACAGTCCAAAACAGCTCTAAACAATTATGTGGGTGGATGCTTTTTCACTGGAGGAAGCATTATTATGGACTCGTATTTTGGGCAGAAGGGACATTTAAAGTTGAAACTTATTTTAAAGTTTTAAGTTGTTTCTTATAAACACGCAGCTTTTCACTTCACTAGATGTTAACTGATGGACTGGAGTGGTGTGGATTACTTGTGGATTATCGTGATGTTTTTATCAGCTGTTTGGACTCTCATTCTGACGGCACCCATTCACTGCAGAGCATCCACTGGTGAGCAAGTGATGCGATGCTACATTTCTCCAAATCTGTTGAAGAAACAAACTCATCTACATCTTGGACGGCCTGAGAGTGAGTACATTTTCAGCAAGTGTTTACTTTTGGGTAAACTATTCTTTTAATGTAAAGCATTAGCACAAACTCAGTTTCACATAGCCAGTCTTTGACTACCAGCATAAAGTCTGGTCCACTTTGCAACGTTTCCTAGGCTACCCACTGAATACTTTACACAAATTTTGCCGATTTACAGTCTGGACGAATTGACAACGTTGTTGACAAAGTCTGCAGATTTGAGAAGACTTGTTTCACTGAAAATCAGTGTATAATGAACACCGACTCGGATATTTTTTTTTTTAGCTTCAGACTGCAAATCGATCCAGTGGGAGGATATCAAACATGTTTTGAGAACACTTACTGTTTTCATTTGCCATGTGTCTCCTAGAGCGTGTTTCTGTGTTTGTTGTGTTCGTAACGACTTGAAAATCGGATAGAATGTGATCCTCAAGCATTTAGTGTATGATTACCATTTTTAATCTGTAACCATTTTCAAAGCCAGCAAGGGTGTGATGCCTAGTGTTGTAAAATCTGTTCAGATTTGAAAAATTGTGTAGTGTATTCCAGCCTCTAAACAGTGAAAAGTTGGTCTGCGCTGTATTCAAGGCACCTGGCCAGTTCATTTTTTATGTGCTTTTTTTTTTTTTTATCTTTAGATATTTTTTTATCTAAAATATTACCACAGTAATAGAAAAAAATTAAATGTTTTAAAATAACAGCACAGTGTGCATTAATGTAATAATTGTTTAATGTGTGCATTAATGTAATAATTTCTGTCCGTCCAGAGTCACAATGGGGAAAATATTGATTTGATCCCCTGCTGATTTTGAAAGTTTGCCCACTTAGAAAAATTCATTCATTACATTTATATAGCACTTTTCTAAGTACTCAAAGCGCTTTACATTGTCAGGGGGTATCTCCTCATCCACCACCAGTGTGCAGCATCCACCTGGATGATGCGACGGCAGCCATAGTGTGCCAGAACGCCC